GTAAGAAAAAGTGGTTCACCGGGATCATCATCAACGTTAAGAACAGTTGGTTTACGAGTTGGAAACATTTTACGAAATGGACCTCGATATCCATTTATACATTCAAATGTAATTAAACAGACAATTGCAACAAATAACAAACGCATCTTTTTACAAGGACTAAAATGAAACAAAAAGCAGAATAAAAGATATTGTGGTTGTTATATATATATGAGAAAGATAATGATGAATTAGATGCATAGAAAGCATGATGCTTAAATCAGCTATCTACCTGCATATATCTAGATGACAACGATAAAAAAAAAAGTGGCTGAATGTTTACCACAATTTTGAAATAATGACAAAGAATGTTTTTCTTTTTTTTTTTGAGATGTAATTCTTAATTAAAATCAAATAGAATTTATTGAAAGTAGTTTCTTTTCTTAGATTATTGTAATCAGATATCTATTAATGATTTCATCATAATTTGTAAAACAAAAAACATCTGGTTTAATTCATATTTATAACGTAATTATTTTATCAAATTATGAAATATTCAAATAGTTCAAGGTCAATTTTCATTTTTTTTTTCTTCTATTGATAAGAAACCTAATCGTATCTTAAAAGAAAACTTATTAATTTTCTGTTTTTTTTTGTATGTATTCATATACAATACATTTAGTTATTCACAAGAATAGTACAAAAAAAAAATCAGAAATCATTCATGTAAAAATATTCTTTTTTTTCTCTTCGTTCTCTCCGTTCCGCTTTGGACAAGCGAGAAATAGTCCGAAACATTATATATATATATATATATATATTACCATTCTGTTCATGTACATATTATCGTATTTAACCATAACATAATGATGTTAACATTATGTTTCTTAATATTAGTTTGCAATCAAATTCATGGAAAATTTTTATCAAATTCTGAAAGTTCATCATTTATTTTTTTTCGACATATACGTTTACCAACAGATGATCAACAATATTCTATTCGATGTCCATATAATTTAAATCATTTAAATATTAAATTATTAAATTATTCAAATGAAAATTGTTTTAATTTATATTCAACATCAAATAATAATAATAATAATAATATTTGTATAAATCATCATCTTCCATGTCAATTTCATGCTAAATCTATTCAACTTCATTGTAAACATCATTCATATTCGAAATATGTTGATATTACTTATCAATGTTTATATAAGTATGTATTCTTTTTTTTTAAATAGAAAAAAAAAACAAAAAATTCATTTAAATTATTTCAGAACAACAATTTCTTCGAATATACAACATAATACTTTTACATTACATACATTTTCATTTCCAATAAATTCAGAAGAAAGTATTGCTCTATTTCTAATTGTTATTAGTATAATAATTATTTTTTGGATAATATTTTTTTGTTTTTGTTTTATTTATTATCGTCATGATGATAATAATAATAATAATGATGACGAACATGATTTACTTTCTCAACAATCTTATATAAAAGATGATATAATTGATTTTAATTTATTATCTATGAAAAATCATTCGATTATTGTTGATAATCTTTGTCTTCATGTCAATCCATTCGATAATAATCATATCTCATCATTAAGAACAACATAATTCATTATATATATGATTATGTAATATCATCAATCGTTTTCAATTATAGACATTGATGTAACAACAAATACTATTGATTAGTTCGTGAACAAAAAAAAAAAAAAATGTCACTTTTAATTTTTTTTTTTTCTATTTTAAAATAAATATCATTTAGCTATGATTAGTTTGATAAAAATCTATGAAATATTATTCTCATTAAAGATATGATAAATCTTTGCCATATAGGATAACTTCAATATGATTATATAAAGAACAATTAAAATCAAGTTATTATATATGATGAAAAACTTTTGTTATTATTTCAAAAGATATAATATGATAATCAAATTAATTATGTTTTTAGCGCCGAAATAACTTTTGTTTTTTTTTTGTTCATTTGCTATTTGTTATTAAATGAAGGACAATTCTAACCAAGATAATTATGATGTTCAAAGCATAGATAATTGTAATAACATATATCAACAACCGATTACTCATCAAACAATTATTATTAAAAATCTTGAACAATCATTGAAACAGAATAAAATATTAATTAACGAGAAATTTATTCCAAATTATTATCAATGGTCATTATATGATATTAAAAGTGCTCATGATGATCTTTTTAATAAAATGTCTTCGGAATATTTACAAAAATTATTTTATTCTAAAAATTCTAAACTTGAATCATTATCTTATTTTAATTGTAAGAAAATTGGTGAATATTCATTAATGTACGATCGAATTATACATGGAGATTATATTTATCCCTTACAACATTTTGGTACTAGTCAAATAAATAAACTACATCCTTTACGTAATTCAATACCATGTGAAGAAACATTTCGATGGATGCCAGTTCGTTCATCATCAATGATTGGAAGACGAGTTCATTTACCATTAGATTTATTTTATACTACATCAATTTTTAATCAACAAAAAAAAATCATTAGAAATTAAATAGCTTATCGCTTATTTAAATAAACAATTAATATTTTCTTTTTAAAATAAATTTTATACTAGCTTAATAATATAATCTAATGAGGGAAGGCCACCAACTGTTCCCTCGCTTTTGAGCCGGGACTGTGTGTATCACGTAGTCCGTAATGAGCTATTGCGTTTTTACGGTATTTTTTAATAGAAGGCTGGGGTCCCCCTCAGAAACACGAGGAAAACTGATTGTCGAATTTTTCACAGAGATGGGACCTAATGGAAATAGTTTATTGTGAAAGTTTCAGATCTTTTCGTTGTCCCTATCCAGAAATACGAACATCGAGTCTTCTCATGTGTATGAGCGATGTAAAAGGCACACTTTTAGCATAGCCGTATCTTACGGTAAGAACAACGAAAAGATCTGAAACTTTCACAATAAACTATTTCCATTAGGTCCCATCTCTGTACAAAATTCGACAATCAGTTTTCCTTGTGTTCCTGAGGGGACCACAGCCTTCTATTAAAAAATACCGTAAAAATGCAATATCTCATCAGCAATAAGCTATTAGCCCGAACTTTTTCAGGGTTTTCATAGCTCATTAGGGACTATGTGATGCACATAGTTCCGACTCAAAAGCAAGGGAACAGTTGGTGGCCTTCCCTCGTAAAACTTAATTTTTGTCTCTCATCCGTATATCATTTTGACAAAAAAAAATTCGATAGTAGATTCAAGGTGTGATGATAAATAAGTGCAGTTGAATAAACTTTTGTTGATAATAATAAATTAGATAACGACATGACATTGTCATACGATCGGATTTTTCTCAAGACCAAAGTCTACCAGATAAAAAAAAAACTATTTTATACAATCAATTTTATTAGTTATAATTATGTACACAGCAATAAAAAGAAAAAAAGTTCTTCCGAATTTCAAATTAAACGACATGTAAATATTTTTGATAGGAACGAGATAGAGATCTATGTGATGTCCATCGTTTAAAAGAGAAAATGGCAATATACATTTTGAGAAATTTTCTCAGAATGATCCTCCAGTTTTTTTTTTGAAAAATGAAGACTTTTTGATGGACTGAGAAGGTTGATTTTCCAAAAAATGCTCAGTCACCTTTGAGTTTAAAATAGATATTACTGACAATTTTTTCGGAATAATTACTACACGAATACCTTCGTTCATTTCTAGACAATTTATTTTTTTTTTTACACAAAATAAAACATATATTGAAAATTGTTTTCTTATGTTTATTTTTGTTCAATATTAAAACTATTTGATTCGATCAACAATAAGGATAAATAATTGAGAAAAATCATACAAATAGTTTTTTCATAAAAGAAATTATAGAAAAATTAATGAAGTAAAATTTTTTTTGTATGTATCCATCATAACCAAGAAAATTTTCATCTAAATTTAAATAATAAAATCAATAGATATGTTAATAAATGTAATTAAATTTCATATAATTCTTAACAGATTTTACTAACGACATATTGAATAAATTCAATAATTATTGTTTATATTTTGATATGGTTTAATTTTGAGACATATCAGTTAAATAAAATGTAGAAAATAATCATATTAAACAAGCCATGAAAGTTGAATCGAATATCTTCCAATAATTAAACATCAATTGAGGCATGCTACCATGGGAGAAGGATATTCTTTTGTCTTTGTATAGATTCACAGCAGTGACCGCCATGTTTTTTTCAGTAAAACCCAAAGTTGGCTTTGTTTGTTGAAAAGTACCATTGGTCTAAGCACTTTACTTCTTGTTTATCAAATTTCTACATATGTTTTTTCTATTGAATTTGTATTTTGTATATTAAAAAAACAATGATTTATAATCTAAAAAGTAGATTTTAATGGTACACAGTGTATTTTGTCACATATGGTACTAGAGTTTTATCTATTGGGTAGCTTTTCTAACTAATGATTATTTTCATGGCGCCATCTTCATTAAATAACCAAACTAGTAAACTAAGCAAAAACTGTTTGTGCGCCTGATCCGTACCGTCAGCTTCAAAATGCTCACAATCGAAAGATAGATCGGGTGTCACTGAACTTTGACTTTTCTTTAAAGAGTTAATAAAATGTTCATGATGCAAGATGTCACCAAGATTCAAACATGGTGAGGTTTAGTTTCGTTGAACATTAAAATTAAAAAAAAAAGAAAATATGGGTAGTTAATAGCGGTTGATTAAGCTTTTTAAAAGGGCTAATCAAAGATAATGCCTAATTACTCTACAGGAATTAATTTTAAAATCCAATAGAGAACCATATGATTCATACAACAATGAGGCACAAAAACTTGCTTTAAAGGAGCTGTGCTGACAAGTTTTTTTTAATCAGTATAATCATTTAGAATAATTTAAATTCAATATTGAAGGATGAAAAGTTACTAAACAACAAAAAATTAATTCGTTGTATGTCGTAATTTTCACGTCGTGTGTTGTTGACTGAAGAAAAAAATAGGACACATTTCAAAGAACAAGAAAAAATAAAACAAAAATATCGATACGTGCGACATTGAGCATTTCTCTGACAATCCTGTATGTTCTGTTACTTTTTTCCTATGTCCAATAGACGATTTTGTGAGTAGGATTTTTTCGTTCTGTTCTTTTCTCGTTACTGTTTTTAGTAAATGTTTGTAGCTTTGACGTACCACATCTATTTATTAACAACAATTTTCAATTACTATTGTATGATTATATCAAGGAGAGAATATGGCATATGAATTTATTCGACAATTGACACATGATAGTGAACAATTCGAAGAAGAATGGGGAGACATATGGAGTCGAGTGAATCGATTGTTTAGAGATTGCGAGACGGAAAATGTCGATGTAGAAACTTTCAAGGTCAAAGTATTGGATGCCTTAGTTGACTATATACTAGCTGAACCAAATTCGATAGTAGAACCAACATCTGCCAAATTTATATTTGTCGAAGCCGTGATCGAACATTGTGCTAGGGAACCATTGCCATCATTGTCGGAAATCGTTCGTATCGTTCGACGTATTCTAGATTGTGAAATGATTTTTAATCAATGGTATCTTAGTTCGATCGAAGCATTTCATTTGAAATTTAAACTCTGTCAACTTTTAACATCAACTCAATCGTACGATCTAATCGAATCTTTCTTACAAAGTTTAAAAAAACATACATTTTTAAATGAGCAATCCGATAAAATAACAGAAGAAAACTGGCAACATTATTTTTCACGACGAATATTTTCTCCTTTGTCATGTGATTCGAACAAATTAAATGATGAAAAAACAATGCTCGCAATACGACCAATATTTCAGCAAATTTTTCGGTGAGATAAATATGTTTTTCTTGTTTTTTTCGAATAAGTGATTGAAAAAGTTTCCCAATAAATTTTGAATATGCTTCTCAAGAAGTTCGCATTTTCTTCGTTGTTCCATAGACATGCAGTTCGTTTATCTCATCAATCACGTGTTTGGGCATCAATACTAGATGTTTTTACACGAACATTACCAACTTTATTCGATAGTTATGTTAATGTAGAAGATGCTCAAATCGATTTTTTGCAATGTATCGAAGAACCAATATCGAATGATTATATTCTATTCATTTCAAAATCGTATAATCGAAATCCGCATTTAATTAAAAACAATTTGTCTCAGGCATTATTGGTCATCGAACGTCTTCTCTTAGGATATCATATTCGAGCAGTACGCTACTATATTGATCAAGCAATATTGGCTCATATTGAAACAGTTATCGATATAGAAGCATTAGTTCAAATGTTTATTCGTGTGTGTCCATTGATTCCGATCGATCACCGACAAGAATCATGCAAGGAAGTTATATCGAATGTCGCCTACAAGTTAGGTCGAATGAAATGTTCGAAAAAATTAGCTCCGATTTTCTTTGATTTTGCTATTACTCTTCTTGATTTATGTGTTCTTGAAGCACCATCATGTGCCTTGTATTTACTTGAAAAGAATGATTTCTATCCATGGAAAGATTTGGCACCACGTTTTACTGATTTACTCCGTTTGTGTTCAGCCTATGAACGGGTGGAAGTGAAAAAATCTTCGAGTGAACTTGA